ATTGGTTGGTGTCAAAATAAGCGCGGGAAAGGCTCAGCTGGTCTGGATACATTTTCAATAATATATTTCACGGATTTAATAGATTAGTTGACAGATGGGAGTCCAATCATTCATTTATTTAGGAGATTCAACTGCCCAAAATAGTTACAAGTTATCTAAGAATGTCTCAATTATGCATTTGATTCATTATTAGTTGCCACTTCATTAACATTTCAATAATTTAAATGCCCGTTAATCTGAAAATGAGTTTCCAGGTAATAAGAAAAAAAAAATTATATATATATTTATATATATATATATATATATATATATATATATATATATATATATATATATACTGTATATATATATAAATTTCATTTGTAGTCCATATAACATGCGGACTTTGAACATATGGTACCTCACATGGTACCTTGCGTTTCATACCAGCTGGATTCGGTAAAATGCTACTGACATCCACATAAGCAGCACGGGCAGTTCCCAATGAGAGGTTCACGGCGCCATCAGCTCGATGAACAGGCTTTGTGTGAAATATCTCATAGTCTAGAACTGCTTTTAGTGCTCTTGTGGTATGGTTGGTAGCGTTCCCTGGTCCCATGCATTAGGTCCAGCGTTAGAGTCCTGGCTGGAGAGGTCGTTGATTTTATATATATATATATATATATATATATATATATATATATATATATATATATATATATATATACTGATAACCACAAGGAAAGAAAAAACACACAGTTAAGCGCTTTCGTGTAATTCACATCTTCAGAGGTTGAGTACAGACCAGGAACTTCGTGTTTTACTTCTTTCCTTGAGTTATCAACGCTATACTGAATCACCTTGCACCTACAGTGATTTACTTGCATATATATATATATATATATATATATATATATATATATATATATATATATATATATATATATATAATTACCTGAAACAGTTTATATATATATATATATATATATATATATATATATATATATATATAATTACTATAAACAGTTTATATATATATATATATATATTAACTGTTCTATACAAGATTTAAACCTTCATATCGTTAATTAATTAATTAGAAATTAATAAAACATTATGTAAAAGTGTAACTTTGAACGTGGCCACTGATTAATTAATAGCGGCCATTAAATATTAGTCAAGGGAATTATGGTATGTGTATTGTGTAACAGAGAGAAAAAGTCTTAAAACAAACAGAAAAAAAGATAAATTGCTAAAGGAGAAAATTAAGAAAATAGTGTTTCAACAGACTATTATTACTACTATTACTATGACCCACAAGGCTCCGGCCAGTGTTGACATTCTGACCTTACACACACACACACACACACACACACACACACACCAAAGCAACTCTCACCCACATTCTCATTTACAGCTAATTAATTTTCTTTACTACAAGCCCGCCACCATGACGGCCCCCACCATGACGACCCCCTAACCATAACGAGCCCACCAAGACGTCCACCATGACGACCCTACCAAGAACGACCTCCACCATAACGACCCCTACCAAGACGACCCTCCACCATGACGACCCCCACCAACACGACCTCCTCTCCACCATAACGACCCTCACCAAGACGACCCCACCACCACACGACCCCACCACCATAACGACCCTCCACCATAACGACCCCTCACCAAGACCCCCTACCCCACATTCAACATTATCAACACGACTTTATTTACGACTTGAAAAAATATCAAATGAATTGTATATATGTACCCCCACCCCCCACCCACCTCCGCAAAAGGAAAATCTATTTCACTTCATATAATTCCCAATATTTTCACTCAAACTAGGATGAAAAGTTTTCTATCAAGAATTTAAAAGATGAGACACAAAAAAAAAAACTAGGTAGATGTTTGAGAAATATATATATATATATATATATATATATATATATATATATATATATATATATATATATATATATATATATATATATATACGTGTAATTACTGGAATGATTTTTGTATTAATAACCGATATACAGACAACTTGTTATTTTTGTGTGTGGAGGTAGGTGGGTGGTGGGTGGGTGGTGAGGCATGGGTGAAAGGAGAGGGGAAGGGTGGGCATGGTGTGGTGGAGGTGGTGAGGGTGGATGATAGAATGGATGGATGGGTGAATGGAGGGATGAATGATAGACAACAACCTACCCATTAATCTAAACAAAAAAAACAAAAAAAAATCCAAGAGAGGCGCAAGGAGAACAAACACAAAACACAACACACACACACACCTCTCTCTAAAATATAAAAGAATAATGACAAAAACACAATTCTTAGTCCTTGCTCACCAATCCCACACACCCCTCACTTCCCTCCACCCCCACACCCCCTCACTTCCTCTCCACCCCCCACGCACACACCCGAGAGGGATACTGCACCTCATCACCTGTGACTCTTCCTCATAAAACACAAAGCCGAGAAGACCCCCACCCCGAGAGAGAGATAGAGAGAGCTAGTGTTGATGTCGCCTCTATTGACCCAGGTGCCCCTCTACCCCTCCCTCCCGATGAAAGATTGAAGGTACTTGAAGCTGGGATGTCTTGATCTGATGGAGGCCAGTCGTGGTTAGGATAGGGCGCTTGGCTAGGTTAGGTTAGGTTTGCCAGTGGGTGCTGTGTTGTGGTTGGCTGACAGCTGTGTTGGGTTGTTTGAGTTGGGTCTTGATAGGATAGGTTGGAAGTTGTGTTGAGTTGTGTTGAGTTTGCCAGGCTTGTTTGGTTGGGTTGCTAGGCCAGGTCCGCCAGGTTGGTGCCAGGTTGAGATGGTGTTAGCTGTGTTAGGTTCTGCTTGGCTTGGTTGAGTTAGGTTTGGGCCAGGTTGGGTTAGGTTAGGCTAGGCAGTGTTGTGGGTAGCGATTAAGAAAAAACTACACTGATGAATTCCACTTAAGTGTTCTGTTAGATATAAATGAACTCACGTTCACTCAGGTGAGGTATGGCTCCAGGCTTTGAGTATTAAAAGGCTTACCTGGCATAGCGTAACCCACAATGATTCCGGGTTAATTACTCAGGTAAATTAGATTGAACGTTATTAGAGGGATCAGACGGGCTTACTATAACTACCTCATTACATAGATAAAAAAACAACAACAGTTATTAATTCCGAGTCAGATTAAAATTGGGGTGTTTTTGTGTGTGTGTGTGTGTGTGTGTGTGTGTGTGTGTGTGTGTGTGTGTGTGTGTGTGTGTGTGTCAACGTAATATATGTTTAAAATACTATCTACTATAGTTGTTGAATGGCATATGGCATTAACACACCATACCACCAATATAACTCTGGCAAAAATATCGTCGGGGAGTTAGCATCTAATTCACTGTGACAAGTATCACACCAATTAAAGCGGTTCCAATATCTCCCCGCTGCAGGATAAATACTACTGAATTAACCTCCACGTGAACATAACACAAGCTGCGGCCCGCAATATATACCACCAAATTCCCTTGTCATATATCCCGCCAGCACAGCTCAAGTTACGACCGGGTTAAATTTCCCACCAAAATCAGAGAAATTACGTCAGCTATATAATTCTCGCCCGAGACTGTGTACACTTGACACTCTCGCTAAAAATAAACACTCTCACGCCCACACCGGAAGTACTTTACACACCCGCTCACAGTTTCCTGCCCAAAATCTACAATACTTTACAAAAGTCATCAAAAAAAACATAAATAGTTTCCCACGTCTGTGAAAAAAAAACTCACTCGCGCCAAAATGGAAAAATACTTTACAAGCCCTCCAAAAAATGTCCCTCCAAGGTCGAAAATACTTCCTATGCGCGCCAAAAATTTCCCGCCAAAAAGCGTCAACAACGCGAGAGTTTCCCGCCACACTTGGCCCCAAGTTTGATCATAACTCTGGTGTAACTCGGGGTAGTGGTGACCATCAGCCTCCACTCGGGCCGCTCCTGGTGGGGTCCTAACGCCCTCCTAATCACATTCCCACCTGATGAACGCACACTCCAGACTCCATATATACCGCAAGGAGAAGGAGGAGGAGGAGGAGGAAGACTCACCCATACCCGAGGAGAGTCTTTAAGGAGCTTTAGCGAGATATACTCCTCAGCTTCTCCAAGACGCCAGAAAAAGCCAAGATTCATCTCCCCACAAGACTTTTCATATAAACTTCAAAAAGAGACAAAAAATATGAAATGAATCTTCAAGAGGCTGGCGGAGTCATCCACCCTGACAGAAAAGACCTTTAAAGTGTAGTAAGATGGACTGGTCAGGCTGAGAGGAACCTTCCCCTCCATGACTGCTGAAAATTCAAAACTCCTTGACATGACTTCCTCCCCCCTCCCCCTCCTTCAAGACTCCTCCCCCCTCCCCCTAACCCCCAAGACTCCTCCTCCTTTCCTTAAGCCTCCTACCCCCTCTCCCCCCAAGGCATAAGGATACCGGGCAAGGAATCTTAAAATATACTGATAGGAATCCGCCGAAAGAATCTAAAACACGCGAGAATATTTGGCTACCTGATCCTCATAAAGTCTCTCCTCCCCCCATATGAAAATACATAAGAAATACAATAAAAAATACAAATAAATACAATAAACATACATGAAAAATACATCAACAAAATAGATAACCAAAATACACAAATAAAATACTTAAAAAACTACAATAAAAAATACAACAACATTACAGAAAAATACAACAACAACAACAACAACAAGTCAATATAAGTGAATTTCTCCCTTCTTATCCACCCTCCCTCAAGACCCCACCTCATCCCCCTCAAGACCCCCACTCTCTCATCCCCTCAAGACCCCACTCTCGTCCCCCTCAAGACCCCCCACTCTCGTCCCCCCTCAAGACCCCCACTCACCCCCTCAAGACCCCACTCATCCCCCTCAAGACCCCCACTCATCCCCCTCAAGACCCCACTCTCTCGTCCCCCTCAAGACCCCACCAAACGTGAATATCGGCAGGCAGATGACATTCTCGACCTCTGGGTATATCACGAGCAAGATGGCCTCTCCTCCGTCCCCAGAGAAAGATCCCAGATTAATCCCAACCCCAGAGAAGGTTCCCCAGATTATTCCCAACCGCACAGAAAGTCCCCAGATTAACCCCATGTCCCAGAGAAAGACCCAGGATTTATCCCAACCACAGAGAAGGTCCCCCAGATTAATCCCAACCCCACAGAAGGTCCCCCAGGTTGTCTCAACCCCACAGAAGGCCCCCAGATTAATCCTAACTCCAGAGAAGGTCCCCAGATTAATCCCAACCCGAGAAGGTCCCCCACCAATCCCCAACCCCAGAGGTTCCCCAGATTAATCCCAACCCCAGAAGGTTCCCCAGATTAATCCCCAACCCCCAGAGAAGGTCCCCAGATTAATCCCAACCTGAGAAGGTCCCCCAAATAATCCCAACCCCAGAGAAGGTTCCCCAGATTAATCCCAACCCCAGAGAAGGTCCCCCAGATTAATCCTAACCGCAGAGAAGGTCCCCCAGATTAATCCTAACCACACAGAAAGTCCCCAGATTAACCCCAACCACAGAGAAAGGCCCCAGATTAATCCCAACCCCAGAGAAGGTCCCCCAGATTAATCCACAAGCAAGATAACCTCCCCCTGCTCCCCAGAGTATGTTAGCAGCAAGACTGGTTCTCCTCCTAGCGGTAGTAACAGCATGGAATACAAACGAGACTGAAAATGACACAAAGTTTCTCTTCTTTCACCCCCAGTCCAGGATGCTGTCTCTTTAGGATGGGGACGGAGAGACGGGTGGAGAGACAGAAAGAGACAGGTGATGATAAGCATACAGATGGATGGATGGACATTATATTACATACTTATATATACTTATAAGGCTAGGAAGATGGATATAGACAGACAGACAGACAGACAGACACACACAACTTCAGGTACAATTGAGGGAACAGAACCAAGCAAGTACAGTACCTGGCCACAGGAGCTCAAGAAAGAGACGACCACATCTTTCCTTACCAAGTTTATGTCCCCCCCTCCCCTCCCCTCCCCTCCCGCAAAAAAAAATTATTTCCCTCGTGAACTGTCGGGGGAGGGGAGGGAGGGAGGGGGGGAGGGGGGAGGGGGGAGGGGGAGGGGGGGAGGGAGTGGGGAGGGGGAGGGAGGGGAGGGGGGAGGAAATATGATTATCCTATCTTATTTTTTATTAGCATTTTCTTATTTTCTTTCTTGTTCCTACACCAGACAGACAGACAGACAGACAGATGGACAAACAGACAGACAGACAGACAGACGGGTGGGTAAGAGTCACCTTACTGAAAACATCTGGTCATGTCAGTTTAAGATTTTTCATTATTATTTTTGGTTTAAAGTTCATCTTCTGTGATATTTTCTCTTAATGTTGAAGACGTGTATAGTAAGCGTGTTGTTGGGGCTGACAGACAGACAGACGGACGGACGGACGGACAGACAGACAGACAGACAGACGGACAGACAGAAGTTGATTATTGTAAGTGATCAATTATAATACCAGTGCTATTATTATTATTACTATTACTATGATTACTATGGCTCTAACTCACATTATCTTCACTACTATTACACATACATACATACATACATACATACATACATACATACATACATACATACACACACACACACACACACACACACACACATACATATACATACATACATACATATACATACATACATACATACATACATACATATATACATACATCACACTACATCCTTGACCACCGAAGGGTCAAGACGTACCTGGCGCTCCTCTCGGAGCAGCCAGGTCAACTGTTAAGTTGGCCCATACCAACCCCCTCCCCTGAACCCTCCTCCCCACCGGAATATCAACAAGTTCACGCCAGAAGTTACTATTTCATTTAGGAAAGGAATGGAACCAGTGTTAAACAGAGGTGAACAGTGGTGAACAGTGCTTAAGTCAGTGAGAACAACTCAACAGTAACAGTCGCACCCAAGTTAACCTTCACACAGTGAGGTCCCAGGTACCCAGTGATAACGGCCCGTGAGACCCAACAACCAGCGATGTGTTAATCCGTCTACGATAGGAAGGCCTGGGACCACACCTCACTCATATAACACCGTCTGTGAGGGAATTACGACACCACGTGAGGCCCCGCATAACACCATCTATGAGGGAATTACTACACCACGTGAGGCCCCTCATAACACCATCTGTGAGGGAATTACTACACCGCATGAGGCCCCTCATAACACCATCTGTGAGGGAATTACTACACCACGTCAGGTCCCTCATAACACCATCTGTGAGGGAATTACTGCACCACGTGAGGCCCCGCATAACACCATCTGTGAGGGAATTACTACACCACGTGAGGCCCCTCATAACACCATCTGTGAGGGAATTACTACACCACGTGAGGCCCCTCATAACACCATCTGTGAGGGAATTACTACACTACGTGGTCCCTCATAACACCATCTGTGAGGGAACTACTACACCACGTCAGGTCCCTCTTAACACCATCTGGGAGGGAGTTACTACACTACGTGAGGGCCCTCATAACACCATCTGTGAGGAACTACTACACCACGTGATCCCTCCTAACACCATCTGGGGGTTACTACACTACGTGTTTGCTGTTCAACACCTACATCTGTATGTTCACTGTATGTTCCTTTACCATTCTCTAATGAAGGCTTGTTAAACCACCAATGTATGTAAGTCATTTGTCCAATGTATATTTTCAGCCTTCGGGCTTCAGAACTTTTCAAAAAACCATTAATTATTATTATTTATATATATTATTACATATATAATCACATCACATACATACATACTACATACATACATACATACATACATACACACACACTACATCCTTGACCACCGAAGGGTCAAGACGTACCCAGCGCCCCTCTCGGAGCAGCCAGGTTAACTGTTGTTGCCCATACCAACCCTCCCTGAACCCTCCTCCCACCGGAATATCAATAAGTTCTCGCCAGAAGTTACAATTTCATTTAGAAAGGAATGGAACCAGTGTTAACAGAGGTGAACAGTGGTGAACAGTGCTTAAGTCAGTGAGAACAACTCAACAGTAACAGTCGCACCAGTTAACCTTCACACAGTGAGGTCCCAGGTACCCAGGATAACGGACCGTGAGACCCAACAACCAGCGATGTGTTAATCCGTCTACGATAGGAAGGCTTGGAACCAAACCTCACTCATATAACACCATCTGTGAGGAATTACTACACCACGTGAGGTCCCTCATAACACCATCTGTGAGGGAATTACTACACCACGTCAAGTCCTCATCACGCCATCTGTGAGGAATTACTACACCACGTGAGGACCCTCATAACACCATCTGTGAAGGAATTACTACTCCACGTGAGGCCCCTCATAACACCATCTGTGAGGGAATTACTACACCACGTGAGGTCCCTCATAACACCATCTGCGAGGGAATTACACCACGTGAGGTCCCCATAACACCATCTGTGAGGGAATTACTACACCACGTGGTCCTCATAACACCATCTGCGAGGAATTACTACACCACGTCAGGTCCCTCATAACACCATCTGAGGGAACCACTACATCACGTGAGGTCCCTCCTAACACCATCTGGGAGGAGTTACTACGTGTTTGCTGTTCAACACGTACAATCCTACATTAATCTGTATGTTCACTGTATGTTCCTTTTACTTTCTAATGAAGGCTTTTGTTAAACCACCAATGTATGTAATAAGTCATTTATGTCCATGTTTTTCAGCCTTCGCTGCAGAACTTTTCAATAAACCGTTAATTATTATATATATTATTTACACACACACACACATCTACATACACATATACATACAGTAATACTTACAGTATACTTGTCAACCGTCAGTGTGACAAGACGTGCCCCAAGCGCTCCGGTCTTAGCCAGGCGAGTCTGTTTGGCCTTGCCCTCTCCCCTGCTATATCCCAACGCCTACCAGCCTTACTACACCCGCGGGATCTATTCAGCAAAACATTCTAGTGATTAGTGAACGATTGATTACCGAGCAGTGTTTCTATAGTGCACTTAAGGGAAAACACAAAACCACAGCAGTGTGACTGGACCCCGACCCTAGCAACCAGGACTTTCTCAGCAAAACATTCAAGTCATCAGTGCAATAAGTGATTATCATACAGTGCCCCGATAGTGCACCCCAAGGAAAAGTCAGACAGTGGGGACTTTATCGGTCACCTTTAAAGTGCCAGTGACAAGGACCACCGCGGTGTTTACATATATCGTGAAAACTGTGTCGGCAACCCCAAGCACCAGGGACAAAGACCCACGGTCTTTACGACTGACAAATATTAACAAATGTCTACCCGTGTCAGTGGCCCTCAAAGTGCCGTCAGTGACAAACACTTCCATCCGCCCACAACAGATATCAATAGATGGCCACCAATCACTTACTCCCGACGCACTCTGTACCATCTAAAGCGTGGGAACGGTTATCCTGATGGCAGTGTTATCGCGTGACTCAAGTTGCTGAACATATTCCACGCGCGTAGCCGTAGACAGGGCCGTCATACACATAAGCCAATTAGGACCGTAACCTCCACTAGGAAACCGGAGAAACCCACCCCTGACAGACCGTACCATTACACTGAAGTTCCACGGATATGGTATGATCTCCCGTCTCTACTGCTACCCAACGTCACTTCCCTAGCTAACAAGTTCGACGAGCTGGCAACTATAGTCAGGTCAGCCGCCGCGAGCGTCGTTGCCATATGTTAGGCTTGGCAAATTGTGCCTGAAACGTGTCATATTGAGGGATATCAACTCTTTCATCACCTTCGTTCACATAGACGCAGAGGGGGCGTTGCCCTCTTCTGTCAAGATGACCTACGCCCGTCACGCCTGGATGTTCAAGTCCCAGCAGATGTGGAAGCATTATGGGTACGTGTTGTGCCACGGGCCCACCCTCGCCACACTGCTTCCATCATAATCTGTGTGGCATACCATCCGCCTTGCTCACCCACCAGAGACACTCTTATCAATCATCTCATTACCACCTCAGACCACCTCAGAGTTAGGTACCCATGTGCCAAGTTAGTATTATGTGGGGATTATAATGAAATTGACACCACTGATATCCAGGACCAGCTATCACTATCACAAGTTGTGAACTTCCCCACACACGGTCAATATACCCTTGACCTTATCTTAACTGACTTAGCGGACCAGTACCAACCACCTCAACCAATGCCTCCTATCGGGTGTAGCACACACTTATCAGTGCTCTGGTCCCCAGCTGCCACTCCCACTCAAGCACAGAGACCCTACATCAAGACCTACAGGC